ACCTTCAGAGTCATCAACACGCTCGGGAGAACCAACAACTCTACCCTTGTTGACGCCAAGCACGCTGGGATCCTCAGAATAGCCTGTGTTTGGGTGAATTTATGAATAAAGAACTCTACCATATCTCATAAAAGTCCGATATTGATTTTCGAACGTAAATGTGTTAACATTTGTTGGCTCAACTAAGCCAGTGAGCATATTTTTAGGTGCCTTTTGGCGATCTGATGCAAAAGGATTCTCAGGACCAACCTAAAGAGAAGTGTAACAGTCAAAATGTTTCATAAAATGTGCTTGGCAAAACTAATGCCAACGAGAGGGAAGTCAATATGATAAATGATTACTTGGGGAGCAAATAATTGGTCGTAGCGGGGATTGTGTGTCAGCTCATTCGAGTAAGGATCAACAGGAACGATTTTGAGAATATCCTCCTTTATTTCAACCGGTGCAGTCGGGTTAACACTTGGGACAAGAGACGATGACGCAATTAACTTTGGTGAATTTTGAGGGGAACTCGACTCTTCCTCTGATGATCCACCATAGGAGGCTAAAGCATCCATGTTAGGCCAGAAAGTGCAAATTCTGAGGGCGGCTTAAAGGCTCAAACTATATTTGATTAATTTAAACAGCAGCGCCTGACTCGACCATAGCTCTTTAATATAGCCTATAAAGTAATAAAACACAAAATCTTACTTAAAATATTTGGTTTTACTGGTATAAGTATTTTAGGAGCTAATGCTGAGATCATGAAATCTGGCACTTTCTTTGGCTCCGAAAATACACTTCGTCTATGATGGCCAGCCGACGTGGTGTCATAGCCATAGTACAGAGACGATAAGAACCGTAGTTATACATAATGTTGGAGAGTCTTGTACCTGACTTTTCTACGTAGCTCTCCTTATATGGTTAGCCCTATGATTGCTGTCATTTCAGCTTTGCAGCACCTTGTACAAACTTGGTCTAGATACCCAACTCTAATGGCAATCCCTTAATTTGTCAAATCTTGTCTTATTTTAAGTCTTTTTATGTAAAAGGGATCAATTTTTCTCAATGATGCTCCAAAATACGCATAAAATCTGTGGCAAAAGTGTAGAGTTCCAGAAATTTTTTTGATATCAGAGGCCCCAACGTTGGACTGCGTAGAAACTGCCCATCTAGCCTCATGCTCTTGAGCATGAACTTTAAGAGAGGATTTGTTGCAGTAGAGTTGTTAAGCATTGATTGCAGGAAGAATGGGGATAGGAGTGTAGCGCCCCGAAGCTTCCAATGGGGTAGTAGAATACATAATTAAGGTTGAATACATGTATTCCGAAGACAACAAAAGAACTGGGGCCTGAGCGTGACCCGAAGGCCAGCCCACGTGTACAGGGTCCAGATAAATTCTAAAGTGACTGCTAAATGTCAGGTGGTCACATAAACAAAGCATTACAAGGAGTACAGATGAGCCGAATAGAAGATATCACCCGGAGAGGGATTTCCTCACGGTCCTCACGCACGGGATTCCCGTTTTAATTTTTTTGGTACCCGCCTCTCTCCTATCAGGGCCAACTTAAACACTAGTCTATATTGCACAGCCTCCCTTTCTTTCAAGCACCATCTCCGGTGTTGACTAGTAGAATTTTGTCAGGCGACTTTCATTTTCCAGCCAACGTATAGACTTCACCTTCCTGAACCACCGGGAGCGGGCCCGTATTTTGCCTAATCTTGTTATGACGTACTGTTAGAGACCGAGTAGCGATCTTTGCATTCGGAATGCGACGATTACATCCGCGTTTCAATTTAGGCGGGTTGTGTTTGTTCCCATTTATCCTGTCATGATTCTGTTTTAAAAAGGGAATTTTGATACCTAGTCCTAAGCATATGAGATGGTCATTAGAAGTTTTATTTTTATGATTTCTGTCGTTAACACTAAATGTAGTTCCAGATCCAGTTTAAGTTATTGGGAGGAGCAGATACTTCTTACCCATCTCAACTTCATTGATAGTAAATATAGAAAGCTCGTAAGTGCTTATTTGCAGTACCGAATACGTTGTGATGGTTGGTACTAGATGCCTTCTTAAAGAAAAGCTAGAGGTGCCGCTCAATAGGAGAGAAGGGCAATGTTTATTTGACTACTTGCAAGATTAGTGGTCAACTTAATGGTGTCAATTTTGCCTCCTAAGTTAACCTTCCAGCCAAGCCAGGGCTTAGTTTCTTCTCATTCTCTCCTAATACAAGCTTGTGTAATTGGTGGTCACCATTTGGTCTACATTCTTCTGCTCGATAAAACACCTTTTTAAACACATTTATCCTAGTCTTTAGTTTGTCTCTTACCTTTTAAAATCTCTATAAACTTGACAATGTGATCAAATAAGACAATGCACTTACCTGTCTATGAGTCCGTACAACTTATTGACCTCAGTTACGCAGCCCATTAATTATCGATAATCAATAGTTGCATTTGGAATGCTGCAAGGGCAAGGATCTTAGTGTAGAACTTGTGTCATTCGACTGCTTATTTGAGTTGTTGCCACTTGAAATGCCATGTTGCTTTTGCCTTGGAATCTAAAACTTCGAACCATGTCCTGGTGCCATCACTACACCTTCTGGTGAACGGCACGTATTCGTCAGGGGCCAGTACACTCTACTACAAGATAAAAAGTCTTGAAAAGTGATTTAAATGAACATTTATAGCTTAAAATTTATTGAGTGTTACAAGGCGGAAAGTTAAAATAAAACCGGCAAAATGTTTCGAATTGCCAACTTCTAAGTACGCTTAATAAACCCCCAAAGATTGAAGCAATTCCCATAAAGGTTCCAAAGAACAGTGCAGGGTATCAAAGGATCTCATACTTACACTCAGTTCTTTACTGCTTTAAAGGATTCAAATGTATCGT